CTCCCCTGGAAGAAATAGATTGACTGGCCATTAAAAATGTTTGGGGGCGCTTTACAGTGAGCATAGTTCTTCTGATAAGGGAGAAACATACGTGGACTTAGAAGAATTATTCTTAGCTGGCAATTAGATACCTCAGACTATCATGGGCAATGACCTTGTCTCAACCCATATCTGCTGAATTCTACTGGTGGGATCTGGGCATTGGTTATATAAAAATACTCCAAGTGAGTGATTCTGGTGTAGAACCTGGGCTTAGAATGACGGAGCTCAAACAAGCCATGTGCAGCATCTGTCTTGACCAACCAACGTCTATGCTTCAGGCTCTTTTGTTTTGCATATTCAGGCTCTCTAATTTCCATAATTTCTTTAATGAGCCATGAGAAAGGACATAACTTCCCTTTATTCTTTTTCTAAGAAGTATCTGAGCTACATAATTCATGATATTCATTTTCTTCAGAAGTGTCATGTCCTTAAATCAGGGATAAATGATATCAAATACATTTTGTCTTACAATTAAAAATTAAACTTCATGCTCATTCAAAATTTCAGCATCTATGGTCTGTGATGAAGTTGACTGAGGATTTGTTCTTCATCTTAGGTAGTTAATTTCGACAGACCCTGTGTCTCCAGAGAACGCCAGTTCTGTAGATTTATAGGATAATTAACAGAAGCAAAAGCATCTCAGTGTCTTTTTCCCTTTAACACAATCTGCGGAATCTTCTTATTCCATCATAGCTTGCTAAGGCTTTTCATGCCTTTGCCCAATGTGCTTTCTCAGCAGGCATTCTTTTTAGGGCATCATGTTCCCCTGCTAAAGTTGCCATGAGAGCATCGGACTGGGTGGCTAAAATAAACACACATTTATTTTCTCATAAGCATGGAAAGTGGAAGTCATGATGAAGGAGTCAACACTATTGTAGTTTGCTCCATGGCCCCTCCTTGGCCTTTGGATGGCTATCACCATCTCCGCGTGTCTTTTACATGGTGTTCCTCTGTACCTGTGTCCACCATGCGTTTGTCTCTCCTTTCCTTTCCTGTCTTTGTGTTTCTTAGTCTTTCATCTTTCCATCTTCACCCCTTTTTATCCACACAAACTGTGAGGTTTAATTACCTAGACTCATCACTACTGGTGTTGTATGAAACAAAAAGTCCAGGTTGACCTTGAATCTCCAGTTCTGGGGCCAGAGGTGTACTCACTCTACCACACCTGGCATTAACTGAGTCTTCGAATTGATTGCTATGGTTCCGCTTCCTAGCCAAAGAGCAAGGGCATCTCTAAAACAGCCAACAACAAACATGAAATGTCCAACGTTGCCTTTGAAGATCAAGCCAAGGCCACTGGGATGGCTCAACAGCTATGAACACTTGCTGCCAAACCTGGCAACCTGACTTCAAGCTGAACACACATGGCAGAAAGACAGAAGAGACTCTGCTCACCTGGGCATACATACCCACCCACCCACAGATAAATGGAAAACTCTCACACAAAGCAAAGACTACTACTCAAAAGTACACAGCCAAGCACCATTCGCTTCAGGATCAGTCTATATCCTCGCCTTGCTGTGGGATTCATCTCCAGTTATTTCTCTAGGCTTCCAACAACTAGAATTCTGCTATGCCAAAAAAAAGCTGTGTGTGTGTGTGTGTGTGTGTGTGTGTGTGTGTGTGAAAAAGAAAATTTTTTCTTAGTATGTGGTTTGGGTCCAGTCTTGGACTTTCTGGAATCACAGGTAGTATGTTTGTCCTTACATTTCTTCTAAGAAGGTCACGGTTTTCTGCAGATTTTCAATAGAAGCCCTGACCCAAACAAATTAAGTACAACATGAAGTTTACTGGCGTCCCTGTTCTGTCCATGTGCCTATTCCCTGGATCCATCCCTCTCCCTGGTTTCCTTGGAGACTTCAGGATGCCATCCTCCCCAGCATGACAGGCTTGTGTTAATGATTTCCTTACTTTTAATGACTGTGTGGGTGTGTTTCTTTTAACTCATGTAGCCAGTCTCAAAACCCTCTACTGTTGCCCTGTTTCTAAGTTAGTTCTAGTAATTGACTACTTTCAGCTCTCTCCAGAATGTTCTCATTCTGGTTTATTTAAACTCTCTGGGTTTTAGGCAAGCCCTGCTGGTTTTAGACTGCAACCTGGAGGCCACAGTGCAGACTTTTTTTCAGTACGTTTTGACACAGCAAATATTAAAAAAAAAAAAAACCTCACAAGATATATTCTTGTCATAAAACGAACTGTTTGTCTCCACTTATAGTTCCTGCTGCAGTTCAGCGCCAAGCAGACATGCTTGACTTTGGCTAGCGCTGCTCCTGTGTTGGCAGCAAACAAAACCAGGCCTTTAATGCCTTCGTGGGCTTTATCCCTTCCTAACAAACTCATCTGCCTCTTCTACAATAAATCATATTCGAGAACTCTCCAGTGTCACCTTGCAGAGTAAGTGGATTTATTTCAGGCTCTAGAGTTGAGACTCTAGTGACTTTTATAATAATTACCTCCATTCTGGCTAGCATCCCAGGAATACTGGCATCCCATAATGACACTATTAAAAACTGTCTTGCCACAACTTTCAGGTACCCCTTCCATTAGTCTCATTAGGAACTACTCTCTAGAACTGATCATGACCTATACATCCATAACCCAAGGCTTGGCTCACAGGAGAAAACAACAGCGTTGTTCTTCATTCTTTCCTTCTTGGTGGAGCTGAGGTGTGTTATGCAGCTGAGCTCATGTTCAATGGCAGAGGAAGCACTTACTTTACAACACAGTAGTCTCAAAGTTTGGTTTGCATCCTGCTCACCTAGACTTGTTAAAACCAAGATCCCAGGAACCCCTTTCCGGAGTCTTAGATGTAGTATTAATTGAGCAGGACCTGAGAATTTACATGTCTACTGAACTCCCAGACCGTGGTGATGCTATTGGGTGTTGAACCTTAGCTTTGAGAAGTACTGACAGGTTTTGATAGTCAACTGTTCTGGGTAGGACAGCGGTAGATGGTACAGCAAGAATCTTGTAGTCTAGTAGAGGCTGTGAGGCAGCTGCATAAAAACCCATGCTTATGCCCTTAGACTTGAACAGGGAGAAGAAGAGGAACTTTCAGTCTGGGCGAAGGAGGTTAGAAAGTTTTGTGGAAGAGGAAGCCTGTGACTGGGCCTTGCACAGGGAAATGACATTTGAGAATATAGTGTAGATAATACTATTGTGCTAACATGTTTGCATTAATTAGTAGACCTCATTTAAAAGCAGTAAAATAGCCGGGCAGAGGTGGCTCCCTCCCTCCTTTCCTCCTCTCCTTCCTTTATTTTGAAACTGGGTCTCAAGTTATAGCTCAGACTGGACTGGAACTCACTATGTAGCCCATGCCTGGTCTCAAACTCATGGCAATCCTCTTTCCTCAGCCTCATGAACACTGAGGTGAAAGATAAGAACCACCATGCCTGGCTTCAAATGACCACTCTTAAACTTAAGAGACAATTAAAAACTTTACTGGCAATTGAAGCCATGACTTCACACATGCTAGGCACTCATCTCTGAATTACAATCTTAATTAATACTTCTCCTTCCTCCTCTTCCAGGAGACAGGATGGCATGCTGGCCTCCAACCTCACAGCAATCCTCCTGCCTCAGTCTCCCTAGTACTGGGAACAGGTGCAAACCATCATGCCTGACTTCTTCTTAGACCAGCTGACTTCTTCATGACCAGCTTCTTAGAGAGAGAAAGTGGAAGAGTGGCGGCCAGTGCCCAGGAGACGGAGAATGAAATTCGTGCCCAGTGGGCACGGGGATGTGAGTAGCCGTAATGGGTGTAGCTGTGTTAGTACAGCATCAACGCTAGGATGCATAAAAAGAGTTGAGGTTGTAAATAATCTGTCATGGTTTTTTTTTTTTTTTTAACCACATTATCCAAAAGCTGAGGATTTTTCTTTTGGCATTGAACGTTTTCTGAGTATTGAGCAATGTCCTGTCTTTCCCCCCCCCCCCATACCGATATCATTCATCCTTTTTTTTTTTAATTGAGTACTTTATTAGTGCCTTACCTCCTAATAGTGCTATTCCCTATGAGATTATGGGATTATGGGGCCTGACTGCATTCAAACTACCACACCTCGTTTACAATCTTTATTATTGTTATTACTTTTAAAGTATGTGTTTTTAAAATAGCTTGGTGTCTCCTACGTGTCTCTCTTCAGGGAGCATGGGTCACTTTGGTAGTATTCTGGTCCCATTCACTTTGAAGTGATGTAAAATCTGGGAGCACATTGTTCTTGTGGCCAGTAGTCTTAAACCTCAACATCTGATGGATTGGCGGAGATAGTTTAAGAAAATGCCTGCTGCTGTCCCAACGGCTCACATCTGTTCCAGGGCACCCAATAGCTTTTTCTGTAAGCACATACAAACATGGAAACCAAATAAGTAAAATACTTAAGATAAAGCAAGGTTAGAGAAGCCTGGGAAACTCAAACAGTAAATTTTGGTAAATAGCTCGGTAACTTTCAGAATGTTGCTGCCTAATCAATCATAACCGGAGTCCGGAGTCAGTTCAGGAATCTTTTGCCATTTACAAAGAGAGGTATATAAGACTGACGGTGGTTGCGCACACCTTTAGTCCCAGCACTCGGGAGGCAGAGGTAGGCGGACCTTGTGAGTTCAAGGCCAACCTGATCTACGAGAGCTAATTCTAGGACAGGCACCAAAGCTACAGAGAAACCCTGTCTTACAAAACAAAACAAAACAAAACAAAACAAAGAGGGGTATATATTTTATAAAAGAATGCAGTTAAATTTCAATTTTTGCATTTTTCTTCGTCCGGTGGCAAGCTCTTCTTGCTAGCTCACTACAGATCCAGTCCAAGCCTGTCTTAAAACAAGAACTACGAACCCCAGAATGCCCTGCTCCATGTTTGTCCGCGAGAATTCCTCAGGCCTATTTTAAGCAATCGTTGCACTGAGAGCCTTCGCCGCTAGCCAATCAGAAGGCGAGTTGACTGGCGGGTAGCGGCGGTCCAGAGTTTGAAATCGAAACTCTGCGCGGCGGAGGAGCGGCTTGCTGGTTCCTGCCCGACGTGTCCGGTCTGCAGAAGACGGTGGCGTTTCTGGCCGCCCAGGTCGGGGAGCCTGCCGAAGGACTGCGGGGCTCGCCGCCCGCGCGCGGTGAGGGAAGGTCGGCTTGGGTCTGCCGGCGTTTGTCCGCCGCGCCTGGAACTCGGGTCTGGGCTGTTAGCCCCGGGGTTCGGGTTGCGTCATCCGGCGGTCACTGGGCCGCCCCGCCCCCTTCCCCGCCCCCCGCAGGCAGGGAGTTAGTGGGGTCCTGTTGGCGGCGGGGGTCTCGTGCAGGAAACCCAGACCGCCGGTCCCCCTGCTTCTTAGGGTCTCCTTGCCTGCGATCGGGTCCTTAGGAGGAGAAGTTGATTTGGGTTCTGTTAAAAAAAAAAAATGACTTGGAAGATTCATACAACATATTTGGATAATATTTCCTCTCCCCCCCATGCACACACCTCCCTTCATGTTACTGCTCTCAGAACGGCTTTCACCACAATTCGGCCCACGTGGCTGGAACCACCCAGTTCCTAGCTACTGGGACTATTGATACTTTGTTCTGTTTTTTAAACACAGGGTCTGGCCTGGAGCTCTCCGTTGACCAGGCTAGCTTTGAACTCAGATATCCTCCTGCCTCTGCATCTTTGTTGCAGACGGGGCTAAAGGGGTACACCACCATGCCCTGCTGTTTTTAATTTATTTAGATAAGGTCTCAGGTATTTCAGGCTGGACGTGGATTTTGCTGAGGATTGACCTTTAACTACTGATCCGCCTGACCCCCAGTATGCTGTAGCAAGGCCAAACTGCGGGTATCTACTTGGTTAGAATACGTGGCTTATTTGGTGTCCATTACAGTTACATGTGTACTCTGTTTTGCAGCATCGGACACGATGTTCGAAGACGAACTGATCCTCTTGAATCAGAGCATAAATGAATTTGGAGATAACTTCAGAAACGGCCTCAGTGGGAATCCTAGCCAGATTCTGGGTCTCAGAGATGCCTTCAAGGACTCCCTTAGAGCGCTTTCAGGTACTGCCCTTACCTCCCAGCCTGCTCCCCTGGCTGTTCTTCCTACTGATGGACTTCAGCGGAATTGAGACTTCTATGGCAATTTGTCTTTCAGAAAAGCTGTCTTTGAAACTGAAGGAAGAAGAAAAGATGGTTGAGATGTTTCTGGAATATCAAAACCGTACGTGCAGACCTGTACAGGCAGGAGGAACATTGTATACATAATAAATAAATAAATCATAATTAATAAAAAAGAATCACTGTTTTAAAAAAAAAAAAGTTGGGCGGCAGTGGCACACGCCTTTAATCCCAGCATCCGAGAGGCAGAGGCAGGCGGATCTGTGTGAGTTCGAGACCAGCCTGGTCTACAAGAGCTAGTTCCAAAGCTACAGAGAAATCCTGCCTCAGAAAACAGTAGCGGTAGAGTTGGCCCAGAGGCACCTATCTACATTATTTGGAGGACTGTCGCAGGAGCTTTGAAAGTTTAAGGCCAGTTTCAGCAATTCAGTAAAAGCCTATCTCAGGATAAAAACTTTAAAAGTGCTTGGGGGTGTAGTTTGGGGGAGGGTATGGAGTGATTGGTTTAACGTTTTTGAGGGTCTGGGTTTAATCCCCAGTAAAATAAAAAAAAGAGGGTGTACTTAATTTATATAACATGTTTTGCCAGTGCCTGCTCATATGATACATTTTCCTAATATTTTTATTATATCTAACCATATTTGCTTTTAGTGGATTGTTTTTAATATATATTTTAAAATATGTATTTGTTTTTTATGTGTATGGGGATTTCCTGCATGTATTAAATGTATAATACATTCATTCAGTTCCCATGTAGGCCCGAAGAGGGTATCAAATCCTCTGGAAAAAGAATTACAAATGGTTGTTAGCCTCCATGTAGACTGAACCCAGGTCTTCTGCAAAAGCACAAGTGCCTTTAATCACTGAGCCAGCTTTCTAAGCCCCTGGATTTCTCTCTGAGAGTTTTGTATAATGTGTTTTGGTCATATTCATCCTTCCCCTCCCCACAACTTCTCAGATTCACAAGTTCTCTCCCCTACACACCCCCATCTTTTTTTTTCCCCAAGCCTTCGAGTCTAATTTGTGCTGCCCAAATACTCTTGGCTGTGTAACTTTCTCTGTAGTGAAGAGTGACCTGACCCTCCTGCCTCTGACTCTTGAGCGCTGGGATTGCAAGTGTGCACCACCACACCCACTTTATGGGGTGCCAGGGATCAATGTATATGTACCATGGTTCATGTCAGAGGTAAGTAGTCAATTTACGGGAATTAGCTTCTTTGTCGTCATGTGGGACTGAAGTCAACTCAACAGGCCTGGCAGCGAGCGCCATTACCTACTGAGTCCTCTTATTGGTGCTGACTGTGTTTTACATAAAGCTAGCTGTGAGTGGAGACACAGCAGTGTCTACTGTGTGTTAGTCTCAGGGTTATGCTGACTTGGTAAGGTTTGCCAGTTATCACTGTTTTCTCCAGAAAAGCTTGCAAAGCATTAGAATTAGCTCTTCCTGTAAAGACTGTGCAAAGCTGTCTGGTAGAGCTGGACTATCTTCTATGGTGGGCTCTTCTCTTAGAACTGCTGGGGTCATGGGCTCCTCATTTCCTGGTTTGTGAATTAATTCAGTTTTCTCAATTTTAGAAGCATTTTTTATTTTAAAGACAACTAATGAAGCAGATTCTCTCTTAACATTTATGATTTTTGAGTCACTAAATAATGTTTATCCATCAAAGTACTTTTTATACTGGGGAGATCGAGGCCGAAGGATTTTGCATCTGGGGCCAGCCTTTGCTACATGGTCAGTTTGAGGCCAGCCTAAGTTTACATAGGCTCTGTCTTCAAAACAAAGTACAAAAGGAATGTATTAATCTTAGAAAAACCGGTGATTTTTGTGTTTTTCTTAGTTATGTGTCAGAGAGTAGGCTGTATGTATTTTAAATGCCGTGTGTTTGTTGCAGAACTCCGTAAGCAGAATAAACTCATTGAAGAAAAGAAAGATAACCTGCTAAAGATGATCGGTGAAGTAAAAAACAAGAAGCAAGAATTGGAAGGGCTGACAGCAAATATCCAGGACCTTAAGGAAGAATATTGTAGGAAGAAGGAAAGTAAGTTTGTGGTTACATTTAAACTAGTCAGCTAACTTCAAAGGCAGGGTGGTTCACAGTCAGACGCATCTTTCTGGCCGTGCTCCATGTCTGTGCAGGTGAACGACTCTTCAGGGCGGAGCCAACCCAGCTTCTCTGCTCAGCGTCACTTAAGTCACCAAGCGGGCTAGGTTTTCTTTTTGTGATTATTGTCTTGCTTAAATAGTTTTGTCCGGTTTCAGTTACAACCAGACCTCCATGCTGTTGTCACTCTGAAATTGGACAAAGCCTTTTAGTGTCTCATATAGAACTTCTGGTCCTCCTGCTCCTACCTCCCAAGTGCTGGGATTATAAGCATGCATCACCATGCTGTACCTGCACTGAAGAATCTTTTTAAGGACGTAGCAGACATTTATGGTCCCATAAAATCTCTGCCAGGCAGTTAATGCACAGACTCACAGCTGGTGAAAGTACAGAGAGTTTGTGGCTGGCCCTAGAAGGGACATCAGTATCACACCCCTCCTGCCGAGGCTCAGGGAGCATCACAGAATGGAAGGCCCAGCGCTGGGGGAGGGGTGCTATGAAGCAGCGTCTTCTGGACGTGAGACGTAACGTGTGTGGCCAGTGCGCTTACAAGCTCTTCGCAGCTGCGGTTCCTGCATGAGTGTAGGCCAGTCAACATAGAAAGGAAGAAGGGCCCATGAGATCCCACCCTCAAAGAACTACTGACAGTATTGGTTGTGGGGAATGAATGGGTCACCACCGTCTTCAGTGGTGTAGCTACTGATAACAAATTGCGCCTGCCCCAATATAAACTCAACCTTTGCTCCTGCAGGAAACTCAGTTAACTTCAACAAGTCACAAACAAGATGTGAAAGGTTAGGGGAGTTCACCTATTGAGAAGGAGCGGGGTTTGGGCAAGAGAAAGATGTGTGTGTAGAACTGAAAGGATAAAAAAAGATTCTTAATCTCTGTTGGGTTTAGGAACACTCATACTACAAAGGCCCTTTCTGTAAAACCTTTCATATTTAAATAAATGCTTTATTTAGAAGGGAAATGTACTGCCTACAAACTCCAAATCTCTGGGTTAATGCTTTCTTTGACAGTTCTCATCCAAGACTAGACTGTGAACTTGTACTTCTCATCTGCCATCTCTTAGTTAGACTTATTTGTTAACCAACAAGAGATGAGGCTGAATTCTCATGGGAAGCAGCTATGCCTAGAAGAATAAAGTATTTTCCCTTGAAACAATTAGTATTTATTTGCCTAGCCAGTAAACAACAATGATGAAATCTTTTCCTAGACTAGTTATACAAGTTCCTGGCCTGATTATCCGTATCTCAAGCAATCCTTTTTTCTTTCATCTCTTGTTATTTGTTAGTTGGAAGCTGAATAAATATAAACAGATTGCTATACCTGGTGTAACTTTTTAGTAGTTTTAAACTTTCTTAATTCAATAAGCCTTAAATTGAGAATTACCTGAAATATTGAACACTTCTTGAATTGTAGCAATTTCCACTGCTAACAAAGCTAACGGAGAGAGATTGAAACGGCTGCAGATATCCGCGGACACGTATAAAGATCACCTTGAACTAGAAATTAGAAAGATTCATGGTAAGTTTATTGTCCCTGGTCAGAAGATTAGAAAAGGGTTATCTAAAGAAGAAAAGAATCTAAGAGTTTTTTTTTTTTTTTTTTTTTTTTTTTTTTCCCGAGACAGGGTTTCTCTGTGGTTTTGGAGCCTGTCCTGGAACTAGCTCTTGTAGACCAGGCTGGTTTCGAACTCACAGAGATNCGAGACAGGGTTTCTCTGTGGTTTTGGAGCCTGTCCTGGAACTAGCTCTTGTAGACCAGGCTGGTCTCGAACTCACAGAGATCCGCCTGCCTCTGCCTCCCGAGTGCTGGGATTAAAGGCGTGCGCCACCACCGCCCGGCCCTAAGAGATATTTTTAACTAAACTAGTAAGCACATCGTTAGGTTTTTGGGAAACAGGCCACTGTCTGCCTTTAATCTAAATATGACTATTTTCTTTAGCTAGGATTCTGATGAAAGCGGTTTGACATGATTGTCAAAACAAACAACAGAAGGCATGCAGATGTTTGCTGTTTGGTTTTCCCTGGCCTTTACTTCATCTCCAGTTGCCTTAAGAATGGCTATTTGAGAATGCTGGTGAAATTACTCCTTCCATCAATGAAGCGTGACTTATTCTATTTTTTGTAAACTGGATTGCTATGAGTGATTGGATTGTTCCTGTTTGCTTTATCACAAAATTCCCCTAAAAGGGGGGAATTACTATATTAAAAAGCACATAAATATTTTTATAGCTATTATATACATATATGTTAATTGGTTATAAGTTAGTATTTGGGGGCTTCCCAAGATCACAGTGAGTCTTGGTGAGTCACTGAGGGTACTCAGTCTATGTACTGGCCTTCCTTAATTCATAGGGAATGTGTTTTAAGACATGTATGGGCTGGATGGTGGTGACACATGCCTTTAATCCCAGCACTTGGGAGGCAGAGGCTGGAGGGTCTCTGAGTTCAAGGCCAGCCTGGTCTACAAAGAGAGTTCCAGGACAGCCAGAGCTAAACAGTGAAACCCTGTCTTGAAAAAAAAAAAAATTAAAAAGACCTGTAGTAGATGCCTGAACCAGTTAGTTGTGAACCCTGTGTATATTTCCCCTGGATATGAATACTTGACATAGATAAGATTTTATATTTTATTTATTTATTGCATTTTAAAGTCATTTATTGTGTGTGTACATATGTGCCATTGTGCTCTTTGGAGGTCGGAGAATAGCTTGCGAGAATGAGTTCTTTCTCATGTGTGTTCTGGGGATTGAATTCAGGTCATCAGGCTTAGTGGCAAGTGTCCTCCCTGATGAGCGGACTCTCAACAGCCTCTTTCCCCCTTAGGTGTTCTTTCTATCTATCTATCTATCTATCTATCTATCTATCTATCTATCTATCTATCTATCTATCTACAGACTGTGTGATTATAATGGTGGGAAGGGCATAGTGTGTGTTTGGAACCAAGTAGCATCATTTGCTATAAACTGGTAAAAGTAAAGTGTTTACCTGGCTTATGCAGATCAACTGAACCAGAGGAGTGAGTGACAACCTGCTGTCTTTCAGAAGAGAGCAGCAGAGCTAAAGTAAATAAAAGGGTGACAAGCTGGTGTCCACTAGAGAACCGATAGATGGCTTGGTGCCCTGCAGGGGGACGCACCAACCCACAAATGGGCACAGAAGTCTCTTTGCCTGTTGGTGACTCTGAGACAAGGCCCTCGTGTATATACTCGGGAAGAAAAAACCCAGGTTAAACCCTTCATTTAGTTTAGCTGAGTATATCACCAAATTTTCTTTGGCATTAACATTCTAAAATCTGGTGTGCTGACAGTGACTTCGTTTTGAAGTTGGATGTAAGATAAGTCTTCCCTAAGTTTCTGAAGCTTTCCTTTTATAACTCAGAATTTTAAATAAGATTACTTAATTTTTTATGCTATAGAAGAACTAAAATGTGTGTGAATTTATACGTTGTAGCAGCCAGGCATTTACTTCTTTGGAAGCATATCAAGATATTTTTGGATAGTAAAGGAACTAGAAAAATGCAAAATAAATTCATTTAACAATATGGGTTTTATTGTAGTAATGTACGTGTAGCATAAAACTAAGCTTTTTTTATTTTTTTGGTTTTTCGAGACAGGGTTTCTCTGTAGCTTTGGAGCCTGTCCTGGAACTAGCTCTTGTAGACCAGGCTAGCCTCGAACTCACAGAGATCCACCTGCCTCTGCCTTCCAAGTGCTGGGATTAAAGGAGTGCGCCACCACAGCCCAGCTAAGCTGTTTTAACCAAGTACATTCATACATTAATTACATCTGAAGTGTTGTGTGACCATCACTAACCATCATGGACTTCTGTATCTTTTTATTACCCCAAGCAGAAAATTTTTAAAAGCTCTCAGTAACCTTGACTTTATTTTTTGGTTTCCATGAATTTATCTTAACTGTTGTAGCTATTTTATATAGTTGAATTGTACAATATGTGTTCCTTTGCATCTTAGCTTTGTATTTCCAAGGTTTTCCCATCCTGTAGTTATGTATGAGAAGTTCATTCCTTTTTATGTCTGGGAAACGTATGTGTGTATATATTGAGCATGTGCATGTAGTGTACACATACACAGTGTTGTGTTTAACTGTTCCCCTGCAAGGGGAAGGAGCTGACACTGATGGTTTACTCTTCTGGTTACAGTGATCTTAAATCTCTTAAAAGCTTAAGTCTCTGCTTTTGTGTTTTCAAATTTTTAGAGTTTTTAAAAGTGTATTCTGTGCATTCAAGCTTTAGTGGGTATTTTGATTTACAAATATTTTCCATAATTTTGTGAGTTTCATTTTCTTGATAATATCTTTTGAAGGAAAAAAAAGGTTAATGTCAGTGACGTCTACCTCTTCTGTTCTTCCTTTGTTGTCTGCTTTTAATGTCATTTAGACTAATTTGTAAGTTCTGTGTTTGGAGATACTGGTTAAGTGGATACACGACAGTGTTCATTCTGATCAAAGAAGTGTATGTGTGAGTTTATCTCTACTGAGGGCCTTGGCATTCTAAGAGTTCTCATATTAAATGGTTTACTCTCTTCAGGTGATAAATTGCAGTTTATATTCACTGGTATTGACCCTAAGAAGCCTGAGAGACCATATATGTTTTCCCTATGCCTAAATGAAGCCAGGGATTATGAAGGTATGTATCCCCATCTTTTGCTTCTGTTTTAGATCACTACCCTCAACTGTTGTTTGATTCATAATATAAGGGAACTACTGTTTGCACAAGCTGTCTCCTTTTCAGTGTTTCTTCTTGAGGTCCAGTCCTCTAAAGGACGTTAGATAGTTTTGCCATGTAGATGCATTAGGGGCCAAAGCTCATTGTATTTTATATGTAAATTTGATTGCCCTTGCAGAGAATTTAAAGCTGAAACTGTGACCGGCAGTATGAATAGTTTAGTCATTGCCACTTGGTGTAAAATAACCAAAATGCGGTCATTTATTTTGCTCAAAATATTTTCTTTAAAGGCTGTTTCATCCCTATCGCAGGTTAGTAACTGGTTCTGCAGCAGGTCAGAGAGCCTTTAGTTTATAGGGAATGTGTGTGTGATCGCTAACAGCGTGAACACTAAGCAGGTACAAGTATGTTTGTGTCGTCTTAATTCTAGTCCTTGAATTGGTTGGTGTTCATAAAAATGATCTCACCTGCAGTATCATTTTAAAGCTTGTGTAGCTGGCAGATAGATGCCCAGCGTGCTGCTCGGCTCCGAGGCTCTGTCATCCTAGAGACTCTTCATCCACCAAATATTTGAAGATTTTCTCTTTAGTAATTGTCTTTTAATCAAACAAGCACTAGAGCAAATTCCCAAACCCTCTTTCCTAGTTTTTCGATTTTCTCTAAATTGTGTATTGTTGGTACATGGGCTGTTTGGATGTTGTCGCCATGACCGCGTGCCGTGAGTCATTATCGTGATTGTGTTGATTGAGGCAGGAAGACCTTAAGGTGCGTGGTGTGGAGCTGAGCAGGAGCACGCATGGCATCAGTGCCTCATCACTCTATGCTTCCTGATTGTGGGAATCAGGTGGCCAGCTGCTGCATGCTTCTGTTGCCCAGACACCCCCACCATGGTTGATTGACCTTTGAACTGTGAGCTGGAATAAGGCCTTTCTCTGTTTTATCAGAGTATCATAGAACAGGAAAGACAACTTGAGGACCCTCACAGTGTTTGATAGTATATTAAATTAAAGCTCCCAGAATGAATTTTGAACCAAGTCCTCTGCTCCTCTGTTATGGTCCTGTCCAAGCGAACTCTACCAAAGCCAGAAAGCTAATGTGGCCAAGTCCTTCCTCCCGAACAAAGGAGATGATTGATGGTAGAAAGAGTGGGATTGTTCTTTTGGCAGCTCTCAGTGGAGTTTTGCTGTAGTCTACTTGTACAGCTGACACAAGGCTCTTTGTACCTTGTAGCTTTTGCCTCATTTAGTTAGTGGACTCTGTAAATGCCACTCTTGGAACAGTTGCTGTGTGAAAACCTTGGATATTTCTTTCAAAAATCATAAATTATTAAGAATTGGCCTTAAGGCCAGGTATGTAGGCTCCTGTCTTCAATTCTAGCACTTAAGAGGCAGAAGCAGATGATCTACATAGAGTTCCAGGCCAGCCACACCTATAGAGAGAGACCTTGTCTCAAAAAAACAAAGATAAAAAGAATTGGCATTAAAAGTGCTTTTTTTTTTTCTTTTATATTGTGACAAGAAACGTAAAAGTCAAACTGAAGGTTTGCACAGAAAATGACTTCTAGTAGTTAAAACAAAATGTGTGTGAAAGATGGCGGAAAGAGCACTGAGTGTCACTCGGCTTGGTCCTCTGTACCATGCTCAGATTTAAGGCGGGACCGAGTCTCACAGTTTGAGTCCTTAGGGATTAAGGAAAGGACTAAGAGATAACTATGAAACTCAAGTGTGTTAGTTTCTGCCCAGCATTTCAGTAAAGTGTAATTGTCGTTGAGACCAGCTTAGAGCCTGCATTAGAAACCCTTCTCCACGGTATAGCGAGCCCCTCATTTAAAGTGCCTTCTTCTCTCTTCCAGTGTCCGACTGTTCACCTCCTCTTGAGTGCCTAGCAGAATTTCAGGAGAAGGTCAGGAAGACTAACAATTTTTCAGCGTTTCTTGCTAATGTTCGGAAAGCTTTCATAGCTACGGTTCATAATTGATGTAGAAATGGTAGGTTTGTTCTGCTTTGTTATTGTATATATACCCTAAAAGAATTTTTGTCTTTTGCCCCTCTGCTTCTTCAGTGTTTTGTGTGGTATGAAGGAAACTAGAATACATCATCCCAAAACACGCCCTTTGACATAACACTTGTGGGCTAAAACCAGTTAAACAGCAACAGAGTTAGAAACGGCTGTGCCCTCCCTGAATTGGCCTAAACACGGGACCTAAAATGATAAGGTATCTAGCCTCATACCCACAAAGAAAGATGGAAGTTAACCGCAAAAGAGATCGCTTACCTCTTCAGACATGTCACCGGAGAGACGGACAAGCTAGCTTCATTCCTGTAAATTTATTCTCCACAATTCCCCAAACTTTGGTAGCCCAGAAGTCCAACTTGTCATGTTTGTCAGATCTCACTGTTTTCTGTTGAAGATGCTGCGCAAACGTGAGGCTGAACCTTTTTGGTGTTCTTTTATTTGGGGTCTCCTGTACAGTATACATGCGTGTGCTAATAAAGGTGATGGTTTTCTCTTTGAACCAGTCTTTGTCTCTTCAGTATGAGTTTATGAGGGTCGAAGGGAAATGCTTTCCTCCCTCACAGGTATATTTCTGCAGTTATTTTCATTAAAATCTTAGAGGAAGATTGATAAGTAAAACATGCCCTTTAAAAGTGAAACAAAAATTCATGAGCTAACTTACTAGTTAGTACCTGCGTCCAAGCCTGATGACCCACATATCAGGGTTAATCCCGTGACCCACATATTAGGAAGGAACGGACTCCCCACAATTGTTCTTCTACTTCCACCGTGCCAAGGTATGTGTGCCTGCTTGCATGCACACAACTCAAGAGTTTCTAAATGAAATATATATCGTAGAATTCGTTCATCTTTGTAAACACGCGAAGAGGTAAACAACAATAATACATTTTGGTCCTTTAGAAGAACAAAAACAACACATTACCTAATTACAGGAGGTTTACTGGGTTGGCTTGCATGGTTGGAGACGAGTAATTCAAGAGTATGCAGGAGATGCCGAGAACTCGGTAGCTCTTTAGGCCGTGAAACTTGAAGCCCCAGAAAATGGGAGACCAAGGATATAGTAACAGTCTCGGGCTGAAGGCTGGGACACTGGAGAGGACCTGATGTGAGTCTCCATTGAGAGTTAGTTCCCTTTATTGTAACAGGCACCCCAGACCATAGGCCCCCAATCCTCAACACCATGTTCTGGAAAGTCCTTAAATGTACTAACCTTGCCTTTTGGCTTTTTTTAGTTTTTTTTTGTTTGTTTGTTTGTTTTTTGTTTTTTTTTTTTCCATGTTCTGGAAAGTCCTTAAATGTACTAACCTTGCCTTTTGGCTTTTTTTAGTTTTTTTTTGTTT